GTGTGTGTGTGTGTGTGTGTGTGTGTGTGTGTGTTCAGAGTAGAGACGGCAGTTCAGGGAAAGTGAAGAAAAGAACATTAGAGGGACCGACAGATGGGGAGGAGGAGAGAGAAACACGCTCACGGGTAAAAAATCTTATAGAAAGTGACAGTGACAGTTAGAAAGAGAAACAAAACTTCTCAGAGATTTACGACAAATAAAACACCTCCTGCTGCAAAAAGCTCAGGAGTTTGATTCCCAGCTGTTCAACATGTAACATCAGTGTGACATGAAATCCTCTGAATGTTTATTACATTGATTTTCCCAAACTCTGGTTACCATTTTCTTGTGTGAAATCTGCACATTTGTCAACTTTAAGTGGCCACACAAGGATTTGCGCCAAATTTCAACATAATACAACAACACTGTCTCTTAAAAAATTATGTTTCGTAGGACTAAGCTGTTTTTCCAATTACACTGTGGAGCCAACCATAACCGTCTTGGTTTTGTTTTTGGTGAAAGGAGTCACATGGACGCGTAAGCTGGTTGGCATTACGCGTCCTTTAAACCGTATTTTCTGCTGTAAATACACGTATTTTCATAGAGTTGATTGTAACCAGCTGCTTTTACTTCAAGTTCTCAGCTTGTTTTTCTTAAATATGGAAATTCGTCACTATTATTTTAGCTGACACACCGTCGGTGTTAGTTGTTTTTGATCATCTGCCCAGATTTTATCCGTAACTAAACACCTGCTCACTGATTAGTTTAATGTCATCAGAGATTGTTTCATTTGCTGAAGGCTGTATAATAAAAGAAAAAGCCCACAGAGCTTTTTACACAAGACATTTTTGACAGTTGGAAAGCACAAGTGTGAGTAATAAATACAGTGATGGCTCAATTCCCTTTAGCTGTTTCAGTTTCGGGGGTCCAGGTATTGTAGCCTCATCTCCTATAATACCCCCATAGGTGTCAATGTGAGTGTGCTTGGTTGATTTTGTCTCTGATGGACTGGCGACCTGTCCGAGGTGTCTCCTGCCTTCGCCCTAAGTCAGCTGTGATATGCTTCAGTCCCCCCATGACCCCACAGAGGATAAAGCAGCATATAGATAATGGATGGATGGATGGATATCTTTACCATTCAGTTATCAAAAGTCACGGCCAAATCCTGAACCTGAAGGCTGTGTGAGCAGATTTTTCCCCTCACACTGCGGTTAATAGGAGTACACATGCATGCTAAACTGATTCAAACAGACTGACGCACACTCCAGGAATCTGCACTGAAGCAGAGAAGCTGCTCTCTGAATGTGCTTCATCTCTGCCTCTTCAGCTTCTGCTCTGATACAAACACACACACTGTTTCCTTGTCAGAAACTCTCTTCTCCCTCTTGGTCTCCGCCTTCATGTTGTTTATGGTGAATAACCTGGAGACAAGGTGTGACAGTGTGTTTGTGTTTGCGTGTGTGTTCGGAGTTCACGGAGTGTGACATTCACACAGTTGGGAAACAGCGGGACACATGTGCTTTACGCCCCCGTGGCACCCTCCCACTCTGCACATACGTCTCTCCTGTGGACTGCTAACAACAGCTGACCGCTGCGTTTACATTGCTGCAGATAACACAACGTACATCTTGGTCAAGGTCAAGATACACCACATTTTTTACATCCTGACCACATCCCTGTGCAGTTACTAAACGTGATATTTCAAACATCTCTGTGGAATATA